CTTCCAACAAAATTCACACATTCAACATCAACACCTGCCAACTACACTCAATCCATACTGAACATCAGACCAGATAAGATCAGATGAGATGAGATGAGATGAGATGAGATGAGAAGGCGAGAAAGAATAAGTGAGGAGGATGTGTGGACTGGCAAGGAACCAACCAAGGAAGAAGCAAGAAACATATCACTCAACAAATATGCAGAATAAGAAATTGGAGATGGATTGGATTGGGCATACACTGAGAAGACGGTTTTGAGACTTCACGTGTCAGGCCAGGCGAGGCGAGGCGAGGCCAGACTGTTGAGTGTAATCGGAATGGGGAAGGACGAGTTGGGCGTCGGAGGTGTGGGTGATATGGAGGAGATTGTGTGAGGAATAAATGAAAGTTTGTGTTGAGTGATGGGTTGAGGTTGAAAAGAGTGGAGAGAAGGGAGTGAAATGGTGACGTGTTATTGAAGTCCTATATTCCACTATGTACCCAAGGGACAAATAATATTACTAATAATACACCTTCTTCATATCAGAATAAAAAAACAAGTAATCAAATGACTGTGGTATTACATCATGTTCATAGGACAGAGTTCATAACAGTAAAGACGTTGTAAGTAGTAAAAGTTTTGCAAAAATACTTTGAGCATTTCTTTTGTAAAACTAGTTAGGTTGATCAAATCTCATGTGGATTAATTTCAAAACAAACTATAAGCTTCATATTATGCAGTACAGAAATGAAAAATCAGTGATTTCTGTATGATGCAATCAACTAACATTTGAATTCAACAAGGGATTCATCAGGTGACTACTGTTAACATATAACGAATAAGGTGACTCGATTTCAGTAAGCTGGACTGTTATGTACTGTTTTCGTTGAGGTCGAACAACAAAGGACGAAGGGGAAGAATTAATTCACCCATTCTGAGGAGATGAGAAATATTTTTCATTAATGGATGTAAGCCTGGTACACAATTCAGTTCTAAGCATATCAAGTGCGACTCAATCTTTTTAATTTAACCTTGCCCTCAACAAAAAATTAAAACAAACGAACAAATTCTACACCTTTTTTATAGCCTTCATACTTATTGTATTCAGTAGATTTCTGAAACGCCAAGTCATATCAGGCAATGCAGCACACATACTTAGTATAAGTGATCGATGTCTTCAGCTGATTGGTGCATAAATATCCACTATCGATCAATACCATGCAAGAATGAGTCATTCTTCTGTGATATATGAGTTGGTCAAACTAAGATAGTCACGTGATACCTGAATGTCTAGGTCAAAGAAAGTTAATTTAAACAAATTTGCTACATGTGTATAGAGTAGGCCGTAAAATGATAAACTGAGCAGGATCGGGTTCGAATACTGAATTGTTTTATTTTAACATTTTGACTGAGACTGCTATGGTTTGGCAGACTAGTATTGTTTCTGGGTGATGAATAGAGGTGAAATGAAATTTCGAATTACGGCAGGATTCCAACCTAGAAAAAAGAATCTTGTTTACTTTTGAGATTAATATATGCGTATAGGTTTGGGAAACATGCTAAGGACATCAGTTTTCTTATGATTATTACAACAGGAATGGTGTTTCTGCATAAGAACTGTGACAAACCACTTTCAGTATCATAGGCCAATAAACAACATGTAAACAACGATTACAAGTTTGAATATAACCTGACCAACAGTGGACTAGATGGTGTGGAAAAACTTGGGCACTGAGTTAGCACGACCCACTGTATAGGGTATATTTACCTTGTGTAATCTCGGTGTAGTAGTAGATTAGTAAAGTATAGTATAAAAGGATACTTTGTATTATTCCTCAACGTCTCAATCTTGCTAGGGAAATACTTTTAAGAGTATAAAAGTAATTTAAAGTTTTCGGGTTAATATTCAATTTTGGCTTAGAAGTTGACCATCCAGTTAGATTGTGATTTCAAGTTGATAAAAAGCTGGATTAGACATCCTACAAATATGGCAAACGTATGTGACTCTCATAGACAGTTTGAAATGATATGCAAGGAGAAGGTAGAATACTATCTCATTTCGCACTGTTCCACATGATTTATTCTGAATATATTCATCTTTCTCAAGAAGTAGTTTATTCTTACTCCTCCCCCCCCGCCTGATGAATCACAACTCCATTGTACATTTCATAGTTAAAGTAATTTTCACCACCCTATTTTCGCTGTACCTTTCTTACACAACTGGAATAAGCCTTACTGACTGGTTTGCTAAATCACTCTCATTGTGTTGATTTTTCTTCTATCACGATGCAACTGGATGATCATAAAGGTCACCATCTTGTGTAACAAACTTGAATAGTAACCTGAAAACCTTTATCAGCTTCAGACTCTTGAAAAGTATCTCCTTAGCAAGATCGAAACGTTGATGAATAATACAAATATATTTTTGAGATGAATGAAGGTTGTAATTTTTAAGGTAGTATTCACTACGGACTGACACCAGTTGGGGAACCACTGAAAGTCTCGAAGCAGTAGACAGCTGTTTCGTCCTAGTACGGGACTCTTCAGCAGTACGCAGCCATGCTAGGACGAAACAGCTGTCCGGTGCTCCCAGGTTTTCAATGGTTCTCCAGCTCGTCAGTCTGTAATGAATACTACCTCACAAATATATTTTTTTATTTGTTCTACTATAGTACTCCGGAGATTATGCAAGTTACATATACTTTATACAATCAGTAAAAGATGAACTGATTTGTTTTGCATACTGCTTCGCTAGAACTTATCAACTCATCTGCCTTCCATAAACAAGCGGATAACATCTTACTAAGGTAAGAATGATGAACTGTATGTTCTAACACTTGAAAAGGGGATTAGATGGCTAAATGAACGATTATCCACTAAACTGATTTAATTCTTTGGTCATAGGTTTTAAGGATACACCTCGGGAAACACTGTTCCAGTAAATAATTATCATTGTCTCAGTAAATTACAGTGCTGTTTCTGCATTATTATGCTTTAGCTAACTTCTGTCTACGATAATAATGGAATGAATACAGAGAAAAATCCAATTGTTGTGTGTGCATATCTGAAATAACTATTTGACAGTCAATGTATCAAAACTCATAAAAGTGCAATGGAATATCGTCATTATATACAATTGTATGGTAATACTGAATACATATTTCTACAATTACTTGGCTTAGCTTACTTCTGACCAACCTTCTTCTAGGGAAGATATCATTCAATGAATACTTTGCATGAGTAGATGTGTATCAACTTAAAGTCCATTTATGGTCATTAGGGTTTTATTCAGACCAAGGTAACTATTTCATCAAGCTATATAAATACTTACAACTAACTGGTCTGTATTCAATTACAATGATTCTCAGGATGGGATTTTCATGGTGAGAAGTAATTTCTTCTGTCATATATGAAGCAGTAAGTCTCCTCCTATTGTGCTTTGAAGTTTCTTTAGCGGTTAGATTTGTTTTACGAGGTAGTGTTGCTAGCCCTATGCCCAACCTTCCCTCTTTACCCAAGCTTAGGACCGGCTAGTAACTAGTGAACTAGTTAACCAGGCGAAGTGAAGACAGGAATGAAACAAGGTTGCCTACTATCCCCCATGATATTCCTGATTGTGGTGGACTGGACTGGATCATGCAACAAACAATGGGGAGCTGTGAGAAGAGGGGGATACGCTGGCTGGATGGGGAAAAGAACCTAGAAGACTTGGATTTCGTCGATGACTTGTGCCTGATGTCACATAAACTTGAAGATGTACAGGTGAAAACTAACAAGTTGACAGAATAGGCGAGGCGGCGAAGACGGGACTTCAGGTGAATATAGAGAAGACACAGGTGATGAAGATACCGCACCAACAACTCCAACAACAACAACAACAACAAACTCCAATCACCATGAACGGGAGAAACTTAAACGAAGTAACCTCCTTCACCTATCTAGGAAGCGCTGTTTCAACTACAGACGGGACAGACGAGGATGTCAAAGTCAGAATCGGAAAAGCAAGACAGGCGTTCATCAATCTGAAACCAGTGTGGAGATCTTCTGCACTCAGCATGCGGAACAAGATGCGGATTTTCAATACCAACGTAAAGTCAGTGCTTGTGTATGGTTCAGAGACTTGGAGCGTCACGAAAGGGATTTCCAATAAACTACACACATTCATCAACAACTACTTACGCTGGCTCGCTACTGAAGATCAGATGGACTGCCAGAAAGAATAAGCAACAAGGAGCTCTGGGAACGAACCAAACAAGAATCTATCACCCAACAAATATGCACTGGAAGGAAGTGGAGATGGATTGGGCATGCACTGAGAAGGCCGACTGGGGACATCACGCGTCAGGCCAGTTGCTCGAGTGGAATCCCCATGGGAAGCGACGAGTTGGGTGTCCGAGGCAAGGGTGACATGGAGGAGATCGTGCGAGGAGGAAATGAGAGGTTGTGGGCTGTCGTGGAATCAGGTTCAAAAGATCTCAGAGAACAGAGTTCACTGGAGACGTGCTACTGAAGCCCTATGTTCCACTAGGAACTCAAGGGACTAATAATAATAAATAATAAGTCTCCTCCTGTTCAAAAATTAAGAAACTACAAATCTATCCATTGATAAGTAATGTTGAGGGGTACCAAATGGTGACTTATTGGTGTCGACACCTTTCTCTTTTCATCAGCAACATACTAGTCTAGAAAATCTTATACAAACTACAGATTAACGGGCTCCGATCGCGTTTCACTAATTATGACTATAATATTGTCTTACAAAAAATAGATATCAACTGAGTCAACGTTTTAGCCTTTCAAGTTGAATACAGAATATTTCAAACTCAAAAATTGTTGATTTTTAATAGTTGAAAAACGAGAAAACCTACGTTTCATATTCACTTTTTATGACGTCATTGAACAAAAACCAGTCAACATACTGGCAACTTAACGAATACTTGAGATTTTTTCAGGATGATAAAGTAAAGCTTACATTAAAAGACAACATGAAATAGTACTTAAACATTTCAAGAAACTTACCAAAAGACGTTGAGGGATCATGTTCTATGTCCAAATCTATGCATGACGTTTACGTTTGTATCCAAGAGCCTTGGATACTATAACTATAAATACGACTATAGTCGTTAGAATTCCATAGTTTATAAGTAGAGAAAGGCCAACATGCATTCCAATGTTGAAATCTCCTCTATCGTAGCGTATATATTTATCAGGGTCTGCAAGACCTTGTTCAAGAGTAACCATTTGAACAAATGGTAGAAATGCTATCAAACATGCTATTGCATTTGCATAGGTCAACATGTTTCGAATAAATATGTCAGGAATCAACTTAGTTAAGGTTTATTATATGTATATATATATATATACCGTAGAACTTATGCAAATTGACTTTCTTTTCTCATTCTATTGCCGATTTTGAATTCAACCAATCAGAAGGGTTGACTTCACTCTACTCTGATTGGTTAATGAGCGGTAAACTGTGATTTCTTGAGATTTATTCAATCGTGCTTTCACAGATTGTGTTTAAAGACATGTAAATAAAGGACATGCATTGAACAACTGTAGCAGCACAGAATTCAAAATTAGTTTTTAGAAGAAAATTATTTTTTCTTGGTTTTCTTATTGGTCAGTACATTGATTCAATGTTATGGTATTATCCAGTAAGATATCTACTGTGCACACAAAGATATTTCAAATGTTCAAGTGTTCAAACAAATGACTGGCTATAATAATTTTCCGTATTGGCTTGCTCTATTGCTCAAAATAATATAAAGCTGATCACACAACTTTCTTACTTGTTCTCTTGAGAAAAGGTTATGTGGTAATCGATAAATTTTGCTCGGAATGTCATTTGACAGGTAATCCAGTCTCGCCATGTGTTCGGTGTAACAAACTAAACAATTATCCTACAGTAAAGTATCCTACATGCGTTTTTTACATTGTTTTTCTTCATGAGGATGGACTTCTATTGATTTCTGAATATTATTCTTTGTCCCTTGGGTTCCTTCATAGTGAAACATACGGCTTCAATAGCACGTCACCATTTTACTCTCTTCTCTATAGTCTTTTCAACCTGTCTCCATCACTCCACATAACCTTTCATTCTTTTCCCACACAATCTCCTCCATGTCACCCTCAGCTGGGACACCCAACTCGTCCTTCTCCGTTTGGCTTCCGCTCGAGGGTCTGTCCTGACGTGTGATGTCCAAAATCGGTCCTCTCAGTGTACGCCCAATCCAATCCATCTCCACTCTCTTCTTCTGCGTATTTGTTGGCCGATAGCTTCTTACTTCTTCCTTGGTTGGTTCGTTGCCAGTTCACACTCCCTCCTTCCTTATTCTTTCTCGCCTTCTCATCTGATCTGATCTAATCTGATGTTCAGTATGGAGTGAGCGTAGGTGGCAGCTGTTGATGAATGTTTGTAGCTTGTTGGGAATTCTTTTCGTAATGCTGCAAGTCTCTCAACCATCATCACAAAGGAGCACTGACTTACTTGACTGAATTAGTGTTAAGAATCCGGATGTTGTTCGTGCTTTATGCTGAGTGAAGTGCAGTGGATCTCCATACTGATTAATGAAGGAGGGGGTGTCTTGCTGTCTTTCTGATGTTGGGTTTGACATCTTCATCTTTACCATCACCACCGACTGCAGTTGAGACGATGCTGCCTAGGTAGGTGGAAGAGACAACTTCGTTTAGATTTCTCTCGTTGATGGTGATTTTAACACTGGATAATCTTGACCTGTTTTCATTGAAAGAAAATCTTCTCTGTATAAAAAAAATATTGTTAGTTTGGTTCGGTTCATCAGTAGTATTGCTTAATGCACTCCAAACATAAGCATTGTTGAAAAAAAATCCAGAAGTAATCCACTTCTGTCAGTGATGAGATAATTAATGAGATCAATTTATTATTAGAGTGTACATGATGGCTTGCAATGAAATCCAGGACATACGTTTCGCCTTATTTGGGAATCATCATCTGGATATCCCTGAGCCACTTCTAGACACCAAGTATACTACTACATTATAATGAATATCCAGGTAGTATTGAGCCATCTGCCAATAGAAGTTGAGCAATTTGACTCAGTATGACTAAAAGAAATAATCGACTTATCATGATTATTATCTAAATATTTTTTCGAAGAAGATTTATGAAACCAATATCCTTTGGTGAAAATACATGTAAAATGCAAATTTTGATGTATACTTTACAATATACATTACACAAGAGGTGGCTATTTTGACTCAGTAACCTGGGATTTGAAAAGTTGGATGCCTGATTCGAGTCTTAGTAGGAACAATACCACTAATTGTGGTACAGGTATACCAGAGTGAAGAGAATCAAATAGGGAGAAACATACCCCCCTCTGCATCGATTAGTAGCCACTACTATCTACCATTTGAACCAAATTGGTATGTTTGAACAGTCCAAGAACAAAGATATTTACAGAATAAAATGGAGTCATTTCATTTCATAGCCTTTCATCAGCTGCAAACAGCCTACAAATGAAATAAATTATTAGTAGTAATAATAACATAATATACTTTAGACAGGCAGAAGTAAGTGGAGATTTGAAATCCAGGATTAACATTAAGGTAGTGAGTGAGTGAGTGAGTGAGTCAAGGAAACACACGATTAATAGTTACATATCTGTGGCTATTTATATCTAATGAGAGGGAAATTTCCGGAGCTGTGAAGTGGGGGGGGGGACAACAAACGAAAATCAGTGTAAAAGAAGGGACTACTTAAGGACCAGTGGGTTACGTTATCACATGAAAAACTCAAAAATCTTTAAGTGATTAATATTCATTAAGTAACTAATGGGGATGATGTGGCATCTGAAAGAAGAGACAGAAGAAGAAAAGCTGTTTTGAGAAAGGAGCCTTCTTGCTGCCAGACTGATCTCAGTTTACTATACATTATGCTCAACCATACAGTCGAAAGTAGAAAAATACTTATCTCACTTCACCTCCAACTGCGTATGTCAATTCACCTGTGCTTATGGAAACAAGCACATAGGATGGACTGAAAGAAGAGTGTCCACTCGATTTTATGAGCATATCCCGACAAATCTATGTCTGGATGGTAGTAAGGTGTTTACCAGCGCAGTCGCATGGTAACTGATGGAGACAGGATAACCTTTCAGGATAATCAACAAACAAAGAACATGTTTATTACGGTTTGTGGAGGCTCTCACCATCAAACATTTTCAACCTGACCTATGTACTCAGAACGACACTGTAATTAACCTTCGTAAACGGAAATAATTTTCTGCATGTGTAATAATAATAATAATAATAATAATAATAATTCACTTTATCCCAAACAATTTATGGTACAATTTGGAATTCTCAGCGTAATATATATTGTAATAACAACAAGATATAAGTATATACATACTACTTTGTAGCCTTTCGAATTGTTTTATTATAAAAATTTAAGTTATGTGAAGAATAGTAAAAACGAGAAAATTTTCCATTGTAAGTTAAATTGTTGAAATGAGATTTTTAACTGTTACAAAGTTGATGTGTGATTTCTGTTCTAACACTTTTTTCATCACAAAATATGCATACCAGGTAAGGTACAGTCTAATTCTTATACTTAGCTGTACGAGCATACAGCCTTATGTAGTTTCTCTTTGTCCTCCCTGAGAGGAGATACATGAAGAGAGCTGTGAATAAAGTGGATGCTCACTGTCAATTAGAATTTCTGCAGCTAATTGCTTGCAGGAATTTATATGATTATCAACTACAGAGTTAATAACCTGAGCCAGAGACACACCACTCACCCTACTTGCTGACGGTCTTCAAAGCCCTACCCAACATAACATAGTCTTTTTTTAGAAGACCAGGAAAGATCAGCTGGGAATAATATAGAAGAATAGGTAAAATGCAGGAATTAATAAATTGTAAAAGAAGCAGTTGACTTATACCAGAAAGCCTGAATTTCTTTACGTAATAAGTTAAACGAAATATGCCAGGTTCTTTTGTAAATGCAAAGTCTAAGGTGTTGTCAAGACGAGTGGAAAAGTTAACCATATTTTTATGACCCAATGATAATAGAAAACTGTAGTCACATGAGTTAAAATCACCAAAGACAATAGACAAAGAGTTTCTCAGAACCGGAGCAGCAAATTCAATGAATTTATCAGCAAAAGTTAACAAATCTGAGAAACTGTAGTCAGGTGTGATATATTTGTATTTGTATTTGCTCAAATGTTTGGGACGACATTTGATGGTAATGCACTCAATTTTTTCGTTAGAGAAGCAGAAGCATACATAGTTGGAGGAGGACCAGTTAGTACTAATAAATGTTGCTACACCACCACCACCACCACCACATTTCTTCTTCGAAAAGCTTCGATCTTGTCGAAATAATTTGAAACCATCTAAGCAGACTAAGTCATCATCATACAGATTATGAAGCCATGTTTCCTGCAGCATTATTACACCCGTGTTTCGATAAACATTTGTGGACAAGCGTGACTGAAGGTAATCAACTTTATTAGGCAAGAACCTGAAGTTTGTGCTAAGTACTTCCGGAATAGTCATTTGATCTATGGTCATACGCTTCAGAGCTCGTTGCCATCCACCGTGGTGCTTCTTCTTAAATTTCTTACCAACTTGCGAAGCGATAGGTTGTAATGATTTTAAAAACGCGCGAGAATATACAATAAGATTTGTTGACATAATTAAAAGATTAAAACAATATAGAATAAGAAATTTGATGCAATATACTCGATGATAGAAAACGGTGTATGCATATAGTCTTCACTTTTCTTTTGATCGCATCATCTTTTCATCAATTACTTACTGACTGTAAATCATTTAACGATTTTCAAGTTTTTCATGTAATTACGTAACCTATTAGCCCATAAAGAGTCCATTCTTTTACACTGATTTTCGTTTGTTGTCCCCTCCGCTCCACAGCTTCAGAATTTTCCCAACTCATCAGATGTGTATAAATAGCCATAGATTTTGACTAAGATATGTAACGCTTAATGGTGTATCCGCTTGACTCACTCACTCACTCACTCACTACCTTATTGTTAATCTTGGATTTCGAATCTCCACTTATTTCTGCGTGTTTGAAGTATGTTGTGTTATTATTACTACTAATAATTCACTTCACTTGTAGGCTGTTTGCAGCTGATGAAAGGCTATGAAATGAAATGAGTTCATTTTATTCTCCAAATGTCTTTGTTCATGCATTGTTCAAATTGGTCAAGGGTACTAAAACTGGTATGTATTCTTGTAGCTCTGAAGTGATTGAACTACAGAGAGAAGAAGTGTGTGGAAGAGGTAAGGAAAATGCCCATAATTGAAGCATAATCGACAATAATTCAATTTCTTTCAACGGGTTCATTAGTAGTGATCA